CATACTGAGCAAAGATGGTGGGGGCATGTAGTCATCTCTGTAGTCAGAAATATTAATTGAGCACCTACTATGTGTCAGGTACTGAGCAAGGCAACAGAGATACAATAATGATGAAGACACAAATCTTGCCCTCATTTAACTTACATCTATTGGAGCGGGGGAGAAGTATGGAATAATTACAAATTATTTAAGTACAATTAGAAATTGGTTCTAAGGGAAAAGTACAGAGAGCTATGGGAAAATATAATAAGGAAACCTCTGTCATTCTGTCACGCTTTTCTACTAAGCTGTCACTATGGTCACAGAGAGTGGCTCACGTTTTGCCAGAGCCCGTTTATTGGCCTAAAGCTCCGTCAAAAGATGGCAAAGTAGTGTTGCCTTCTTTTACATTCCAAATTGCACACGAACACATCTAACTGGCAGGACCAATGCACACCCAGAGGGTGACTGCAAGGGGGCCTGGCACTGTATTCTCAGCTTTCTAACCTCTCTACACAGAAGATGAAATAGTAGGCGAGAGCCAACGTAAGTATCCAGCACACAGGCAGGCCCAAATCTGTGTGTTTTCTGCAATCTCTTTTTTAAATTGGTGTATAATTTTCATATAAAAATGCACAGTTTTTTAAGCAAGTAGTTTGATGAGCTCTGTAAATACATGCACTCAGGTAACCCAGAGCCCCCTCAAGATAAGAACAATCCCGTCTTGCCAGCAAGTCCCCTGTGCCTCTTTCCAGCCAGTCATCCCTGTCTCCTGCTCCGAGGCAATTGCTGTTCTGATCCCATCAATTTCTTTTACCTGATACTCACAAGTCAGTACTGCCTAGTCTAAGATTTCAAAGAAATTGAACCGTACAAAGTCTTCTTTTGTGTCTTTTTTCACTCTAAATAGTATCTGAGAGAGTCGACCACACTGTTGTTACACATGTATCAATAGTTCAGTCCTTTTGTAATGCTGAGTAGTATTCCTTTATATGATATGAATATATCATATCTTCTTACCAGTAGATGGACGTTTGTATTGTTTCCAGTTTGGGGCTTTTATAAAAATAGCTGTTTAAGTCTGTATTTTTTAAAACAAACACCCCAGTAATTCTGATGTAGGCAGACCACACTTAGAGGAACACAGCTCTAGTACAGAGAACTGAAGCTTTGAAAGGTTAAGTAAATTGTCCAAAGCCACTAACTACTATGAATGCCAGAGGTGGATTCGAGGCTGTGCTTTTCCCACTTGTACAGTAGATCTAAGAAGTAGGGCCTTTAAAATAAGGTGCATGTTTCATTTATGCTTTGTTGCATAACAAAACAAACAGACTTTGGCTTCAGCAACAATTATTTCTTATTATTCTGTGGCCCTAGCTGCGTGGTTTTTCTGCTGGTCTCTCTCACGTGGTTGCATTTGGCAGGCAGGTCCACTGGAGGCTGGGTACAAGTGGGATGGCTGGGGCAGTGGGACCTCTTTCCATCGTCTTTCATGGCAAGGAGTTATGCAAGAGAGACGGCTGCAAAGCACAAGCATTCCCAGCCTCTACATGTATCGTGTTTGCTAATGCCGCACTGGTCATAACAAGTCACAGGGCCAAGCTCAAATTCTATGTGGGAAGTGACTGCCCTAGGGAATAGTGTGATTCACTGGAGCCATTAATCTAATAATTTACCATAGCAGAGCAATTTGTATTTCAGAGGCAATGGAGGCTGGAGAGGGCAGAGAGCCAGGGAATTAATAATTAGAGGACTTAAAAAAATTTCAGTGGAGCCAGAAGTCAAAGGAGATATTCTTAGTTATCTTTGTGGCCCCCACAGCACTCAAGGGGTTTCTTAAAGTGCAGGTCACCTGAGCAGTGTGGAATATTTAGGTAGATGGCTAGAAATGGCTGGCAGGTGTGTCTAGTGGGCCTCTTATGCTCTATTGGAGCTTCAGCGCCTGATAGGTGTTCCGTGAATATTTATTGACTTGATATTATGGGAAACTCCCTGCTTAGGAACAGGTTGTAGCCCCACATTTCTCATGTAAAGAAGTGCTTTGGAATTGGAATACATTTGGCCATCACAACAAGTGTTTTTAGCTTGTTGGCCTAGCTCATAAAAATCAAGTTCACTCATGATGTTGCCTAATCCTGGTCCCAGTTTTCCTGGTGGCCTTGAGCAGGAGACCTTTCTAAGGTAAAGGAGGAAGGAAAAAGAAGAACTAGGATAGGCTTTAGGAGCTTTTGGGAGTTAGGTAATTTGTTGTTACATCTTGTTTTACACTTCCACTTTTGCACTTCTCTGTACTATATGAGTGCCTCTCTGCACCCATTCACTGCCACAGCGCACCTCTCACTGAGGCAAACTCTCCCCACTCTCCAGGCATCTCTTGCCTTCCCCACTCCGCCAATCCCGGCTTCTCTTTCCTGAGTACAAATAACCTCAAGTATTAACATGAAAGTGGCCCAATTAAGCAAACCCACACTATGAATGGATGTTTGATAACTCTTTAACCTTCCTAGAAGAGATATTTTCATATTTTCATTTTTTTCCAAATCAGTTTAGATTAAATGAATCTCTGTGTAGGTGAATTCACTGTGTATCATTCAAGATAAAATGAAAAAAAGGATGATGGAAGATATTTTGGGTTAAGTACTCTCACCAACTTTTGTAACCTCTCTCTCTGATTCCACCCCCCCAGGATAAATCATCTAGATTATTTTGAATTTTGGTTTTTTTTTGCCATTTTTGGCCAGGGCTGGGTTTGAATGCACCACCTCCGGCACATGGGACCAGTGCCCTACCCTTTTGAGCCACAGGCGCCACCCTATTTTTAATTTTTTTTAAGCATGAAACAAAGTTTATTGAGGAAGAGGAAAGGTAGGCTTACAGAGTAAAAGAGCTTACAAAGTAGGATACATTCTCCATAGGCAGGGAATGAGCCTTTATTGCCAGGGCAAGTAGGCAAAGAGGCTGTTTTGGATTTTTATAACTTTGGGTTCTTTACACATCCTTCCCTGTCCACTACCCTTTTAGGCCTCATTGAGGAGGGTTACCTATAATTGCAGCCATAGGTGGGAGGCCTATAGAGTGGGTGCTGCTTCATTGACTTGGCTGATTTGACCATCCTGAAGGCTTTGCCCCAGTAAGTGCGCACCTTTGCTCTCACTTTGCCTTTGGAGGCAATGGAACCAAGCCCAATGCAAAAATATGGTGAGTACTCAATGAGCAAGAACTGGGAAAAACTGGAGGAAATTTCTAACTGGACAGTCTGGGGATTTCCATTCTAACGTTGTATACTCTTTGATTCTGTGATGCTCAAATGCATTTTATATTTGGACACCACAAAGAACTCTGGCCAGGGGATTTCTGCTTTTGCAGCTGTAGGAAGGAAATTGAATGAGAAGAGATTAAAGTGATACTTGCCCAAGGTCACATAGCTAGTTAGAAGAGAACACATCTCCTAGTTCCTAATCCTATATTCTTTTGATAAAAACTTGATGCTTCATATCACTTAAAATATAAGATTTTTTTCCCCCAATAAGCTTGAAGATTAGCTTTTTCCTCTTGAGTCAGAGAAAAATAATAAATTGATATTTGCAGCATTTTTCCATTCGTCTGAGATAGCATTTCTCAAAGCATATTGTTCTGTTGAACACTAGTTATTTTAAAAGGGGTTTCAAACAAAAAAACTACTGGCTGGCATTGTGGAGAATTATGGTGAACATTAATGTATTGAGGGTTCTGGGAAGACCTGCAACAGTAAAATCATAAAAGTTTGTCATAACATCATAAATTTGGCCATCTCCAAACTTATTGGGTCAAGATTTGTCTTTCTTCCTTCCTCCCTCCTTCCTTTTCTCCTTCCCTTCTTTCCTGTTCATGAAACATTGTTACCACTTTAGGAAATATTGGGTTAAAATAAACAGAATTGAATATCAATGTACAGTAGGCCAATGATTTTCTTCTTAAATCATGAACTTTCTTATTGGTTTGGCTGTACCAGTATGGTTTCTGTACTATAGACAGCATTAAAAGTGTTAACATTAAGATATATTTAGTTAATTTGTATCTTTGGGAAGGCTTTGATTTAACTTAGATCACCATTTGAGGTCCTTTCATTGCATAAAAGACGCCGTGGTGTGTGGGGAGCAGGTGTACAAATCTCAGTTGCTGTTGTCCTTTCTAGTAAGCCCTAACATTTGGTAGCTGAAGCCCTTCAACTTTGTTTTTTTGTTACCCCTCCTTCAAGAAAGGAAATATTTCGGCTATTCCAGAATTTTTTTTTTTTTTTTTTTTGAGACAGAGTTTCACTTTGTCATCCTTGGTAGAGTGTCATGGCATCATAGCTCGCAGCAACCTCAAACTCTTGGGCTCAAGCGATTCTCTTGCCTCAGCCTCCCAAGTAGCTGGGACTACAAGCGCCCTCCACAACACCTGGCTATTTTTAGAGGCCAGGTCTCACTCTGGCTCAGGCTGTTCTCAAACCTGTGAGCTCAGGCCATCCACCCACCTTGGTCTCCCAGAGTGTTAAGATTACAGGTGTAAGCCACTGCACCTGAGCTATTCTAGGATTTTTAATTTACATATAAATTTTAAAATTACATTGTCAGTTTCTGCCAAAATAATCTTGTCAGGATTATGATTGTGATTGCATGGAATCTGTTGAAAAATTAGGGAGGACAGATGCTTTACTATAAGTTTTCCACGAACATGATACATCCCTCCAAGTATTTAATCTTTCAAGATTTTTTTCAGTTTGGTAGTTCTAGCTGAAAAAATCTTGCATATTTTTATTAATTTTAATCCCCATTATTTGATATTTAGTACAGCAACTTCCTTCCTCCCCATTTACTGTAATTCCCATTTTCTTTACCCTGTTCACATCCTCTTTTTTCACAGTACTTTTATAATTTTATAGTTTATTACTTATGTATAATTAAAATATGCTTATCATTATGTTTACTACTTATAGTCTATCTTTTTCCACAAGAATTTGAATGCCATGACAGCACAGACATTTGTTTTGTTCACAGATATGCCATGAACAATGTCTTGAAACAGTATCTGGCACAGAGTAGGCATTCAACAAATATTAATTCAATGAATTAATGAACACAGCACAGAAAAAAAACTAGACGGGTGTTGAAGTGAGGACTGAATGATCCAATCTGCAGTAAGTGTCATGGTGAAGCCTGCGATCTTTTCTACTCCCTTCTCTCAGTTTCTAACTACAGAGAAGTTAAATGACTCTCTTACTCTACTCAATCTACTCTCGCCAGACTTTCACTCCCATGATAGCACTGCAACAGTTCTCACCAAGGTTGTCAATGATTTGCCTTTCCCTGAACTTCCTTATGGTATTAAACCCCACAGTAGCATTTGATGCTGTTTACTGTGCTCTCTTGGAAACTCTTTTTTGGCACCTGTACTACTCTCCTGAGTATCTTCCTACCTTTATGACAATTATTTTTTTTGTCTCTTTTGCTGATTTTTTCTTTCTTTTCTTTTCTTTTTTTTTTTTTTTTACAGTTTTTGGCTGGGCTGGGTTTGAACCCACCACCTTTGGTATATGGAGCTGGTGCCTACTCCTTGAGCCACAGGTGCCGCCCTCTTTTGTCGACTTTTATTCCAGTTTCTGACCCCATATGCTGGCAATTCTTTGGCTTCTATTTATGTCCTCTGTTACAGGCTGAATTGTGCCCCCTCCCAATTCATATGTTGAAGTCCTAACCCCTAGTACTTAGGACTGTGAACTGTATTTAGAGATAGGGTCTTTAAAAAACTAATTAAGTTAAAGTGACATAATTAAGTGATTAGCCCTAATCTAATACAACTGGTATCCTTTTAAGATGAGAAAATGTGGACACAGATGGGTACAGAAGGAAGACCACATGAGGACATAATGAGAAGATGGCCAAAGACAGAGTCCTCAGAAAAGAAAAAAACAACTCTGCTGACACCTTGACCTTGGACTTCTAGTCTCCAGAATTCTGAGAAAACCAATTTCTCTTATTTGTTGTACTTTGTTATGGCAGCCTCAGCAAACTAATAGACTCTCTTCTCATTTTGTTCTTCAGAGGTCTTATCTCCTCCATGGGCTTTATGTGTGGTTTATATGCTAATTCATCCAACTCTTTCATTACTAGATTTCAGCTGCTGTCTATAGCAAGAGAAGCAGAATTTAGACACTGAGTTCAGCCAAGTTAATCGCCTAATCAAACAAATAAACAAACAGAAAAATCAAAACTCTTCAGGAAAATATAACAGAATCAAGAGACATTACAATGTATTATTCACAATGTCTACATAGAATCCAAATTTTCTTTTCTTTTCTTTTTTTTTTTTTGAGACAGAGCCTCAAGCTGTCCCCCTGGGTAGAGTGCCCTGGCATTACAGCTCACAGCAACCTCAACTCCTGGGCTCAAGCGAGTCTCCTGCCTCAGCCTCCCAAGTAGCTGGGACTACAGGCGCCCGCCACAATGCCTGGCCATTTTTTGATTGCAGCCGTCATTGTTGTTTGGCGGGTCCAGGCTGGGGATTCGAACCCGCCACCTTAGGTGTACGTGGCTGGCGCCTTAGCCTGTTGAGCTATAGGCGCCGAGCCGAATCCAAATTTTCTAAGCAAACAAATAATTGGAAAATGTGATTTTATACTCAAGAAAAAAGAGAATTAATGTAGACCAGCCTTAAGATGACTCAGACACTGGAAGTAGTAAAGATTTTAAAGATAAAGATTTTATAAGTATTATAACAACTCATGGAAGTAAAGGGAAGTATGTTCATTATACAGCATAGAAAATATCAAGAGAAAAACACAAATTATAAAGTAGAACAAAATGAAAATTCTAGAACTAAAAAATTACAGTCTCTTGGTGAGTTGCAGTGGCTCATGCCTGTAATCCTAGCACTGTGGGAGGCCAAGGAGGATGGATTGCCTGAGCTTAGGAATTCAAGACCAGCCTGAGGAAGAGTGAGACCCTATCTCTAAAAAAATAGGCAGGCACTGTGGCAGATGCCTATAGTCCCGACTACTTGGGAGGCTGAGGCAAGAGGATCACTTGAGCCCAAGAGTTTGAGGTTGCTGTGAGCTTATGACACCACGGCACTCTACCAGGGCAACAAAGTGAGACTTTGTCTCAAAAAAAGAAAATACAGTATCTTAAATAAAAATGTACTAGAGGAGCAGTGCCTGTGGCTAAAGGAGTAAGGCTCCAGTCCCATATGCCAGAGGTGGCGGGTTCAAACCCAGCCCTAGCCAAAAAAAAAAAATTAAAAGAAAAATGTACTAGAGATCATAATAACAGAGTAAAGATGGCAGATGATTTAGTAAACTTGAAGATAAAGCAATCAAATTTATTCAATTTGAAGCAAAGGGAAGAAAAAGATGTTTTAAATGAGTACAGTTACAGGAACCTCTGTAACAACAACAGAAGGCCTAACATACATGTAATTGGAGTTCCTGGAGAGTAAAGAGAAAATGGGACATAAAATTCATTTAAAGAAAGAAATGGCCAAAATTTTACCAGATATTCTAAAGTATGGGAGTATTTACAGATTCAAGGACAACCCCAATTGGGCTAAATACAAAGAGAACCATGTGTAGGCACAACATAGTCCAACTTTTGAAAACTAAAAATAAATATTAAAAACATCCAGAGGAAAACACCACATTAGATATATGGAAAAAGTGACTATAAACATCTCCTTAGATACTGTGGAGGACAATGATGTCTTTGAAGTGTTAAACAAAAAAATGACTATGAACCTATTAATAAATGAATGTTTAATACATATAATGATATTATATTAAGGACAAGACAGAGATGAGTGGACATATCAAGTTACAAGAGTCATATAGTTTATATAAATGTTCTGTATTACTGTAAGAGTTTTGGTTACAGAGGTGTATGCATTTGTCAAAACTCATCAAATTGTTCACTGAAGATAGGTGCATTTCAATGTATATAAATTTTACTTCAAAAAAAAGAGGCACAGAAAAATAGTTAAATCCAGTTGAGGACATGCATCCTGATTTGTTTAAGGGTGAAATGTACTGCAAATTACTTTGAAATGTGTCAACTTTAAGTAAGATGGATTGATACTATGTATGTAGCATGATATTGAAAATACAACAAAATGTTAGTTGTAGGAGCTATGTGTTGGGCATATATATGGATATAAATTTCACTGTTCTTTGAACTTTTCTGTATGCTTGAACATTTTTTTTATTTAAAAAAAAAGTTGGAAAAAATTAGCAACCCCCAAGATAAACTTGTTATCATTCCTTACTCCCCTTAAGGCTACTTTTGGCTACTACTATTTGTTTCAGGAAATAGCACCAGCTTTTACCCAGTTGCAGAAGTCACAGACCTGTTACTTGTTCTTCCCTGCTCTCTTTTCTTCATTCTTCACATCTGAATTATCCCCAAGTGTTGTAGATTACAGTTCCTACACATTTTTTCCCATCGCTGCACTACTCCACCACACCTACCAATCTAGTCCAACCATCATCATCACCTGTCACACTGGCTACTTCATAAGCCTCCTAATGTGGCTCCCATCATCCACTGTGGCCCCTTTCCTGAATAATCTTTTGAAAATTCACATATGTTATTTCATCCATGCTTAAATTCTTCTATCCTATTGCCGTTAGGCTAAAGCTCCAAATCCTTGGTGTGGCTTAGGAAGCAGCTGTCTTTCTCACAGCTTCATTGTATCCTGTTCTCCACTTCATTATCTCAGCTCCATCTCTGCTGAACTAATTTCAGTCCCACTATGTCTGGCAAATGCCTCCTCATTCTTTATGTTGAAATTTCAATGGCTCTTCCTGGGAAGGTCTCTTGCCTCCCACTGTCAATCAAATTCCCTTCCTGTGGTATGAAGTGCTCTGTCACAGCACTTATCACATCACCATTGCATCACATCCATGGAACTTAGCACAGTAAGCCAGGATGAGGTATATGTTCAAGAGATATTTGTGATTTTGGTGGTTGGATAAGGAGAGGGGGTGTTAGCTTGACTGAGATATTATAGACCATTTTTTACACACTTGAGTATGTATGCATCAGCACGATTTGGATTGCAAATATCAGACACTGGAATCAAACTGGTAAACAAAGATGTGCCTATGGATAGATACCCAGTAGGGTCGACTTCAGGTACAGTGTGATCAGGGCTTTCAATCCATTCTCTTCGATTGTCTTGACTCTTCCCTTATGTTCTGTTTGTCCTTAGGCTGGATTCCCTCATGGTTTTGAGATGGATGCCAGCAGCAACTGCAGCTTCTTTCACAGACTTCAGGTGAGAGAAAATTGCTTCTCCGATGTCATTCTTTTTGTTTTTATTTTTTTCACAATCAGCTAAAATTTTGTGAGTACAAGTATTTTGTGCATGTGTTATGGAGTATAATGGGGTCTTCTCTGTTCAGGTAGAGTTGGACAGTGGCTCAGAATTCATCTAGTCCCATTTCTAGAGAAGCCTGCAAAATATCTCAGGGCTGGCATTGGAGATGTGCATACCTCCAGAAACGGGGATCTTATTACCTCAACAAGCCCCTTCCACAGTTGGGGACCTCCAGCTGCTGCCATTTTCCTGCTGGCAGCCTCTAAGTTAGGTTGAATGGGGGCAGATACTATCATTCTAGCCCAGCCCTTGGGATGAGAGAGGCAGCTGAGTGGGACAGAGACAGGAAAAGTAAGAAGTTAAAGCCCAGGATGACTGAGCCATGGCAGGGTGGATGGGACATTTCAGCGGATCCCAGAAGCCCCTGCCTTACTCCAGCAGGTGCTGGAGAGAGACTACTGGAGGCAAGATTCCAGGTGTGGGGCAGCTCAGAAAGCTGGGTTATCAATGTCCCTCTGAACCCCAGTATATCCTTCAGGCTGGGGGGATTGGAGGGCTCTGTGGGAGTTAGGCCCAAGGAGGGCTTCATAATGACCTCAAGCAGCCCAAGAAGAATTGTTCCCCTGGCTGCAGCTGTCACCACAATGTTTGAATGCTTTGGGGCAGGTGCTGCCCCATGGTTGGCTGGCAGAGGGAGGGAGGAGATGGAGGCTCCCTCTCTGGGTGGGAAAGTGGGAGGATGGATTCTGGCTGAATTGGGAGAGGGTGGGGATGAGATGCCCCCACCCAGGAAAGCAGGCAGGGGATGATTTGGGTTGTTTCTTTCACACTCCACCCCAGATTGGAAATTACAGCCAAAGCCCCAGACTTACAAGGAGAGGTCACATTTGGCTGCAACCTGTTGGAGGCCAACCAGCAGGCTGAGCAGCAAAGTAGGTTTCAGGCCCAAGACCCAAGTGTGGGACATCCTGGCATGGGGGCCACTAGCTTTAGTGTCTCATCATTAGTCTCTCTTAAGGCCAAGAAAACCTACCTAGAAGTCTTCAGCAACCATCTCCTTGTGTCTTATTGGCTGAAACTAAGTCATATGCTCATTCCTACACCTATCACTGGTTGACTTATACTAATCTATCTGCCTTTGGAACCAGCTTCATTCAATCAAAAATGCTACACAAGGAAGGGGAGATACCTGAACAAAATTGAGCTTCTGTAGGAAGGATGAGGGAAAGAATGAATTCTGGGAAGATAACCAACATTATCCACCTCTACGTATTCTCCAACAGTAGCTTCTGAGAAATGGCCTTGCTCTTTTCTTAAAGATGCTTCATATTTTGTTTATAGTAACTTGGGACATTATGTTTGACTCTCCATTGACAGTTGAAAGCTCAAAGATAAATTTTGTGGCTCACTTATAGGAAACATGCAGAAAACTGTGGTAGTTTGTCTTCCCTTCCCTTCATTCTTGCCTCCTATTTATGCTCCTATTCTCTCTCTTTCTCTCTCTCTCTTTTTTTTAAATTAGTGACAGAGTCTTACTTTATCGCCCTCAGTAGAGTGCCGTGGCATCACACAGCTCACAGCAACCTCCAACTCCTGGGTTCAGGCGATTCTCTTGCCTCAGCCTCCCAAGTAGCAGGGACTACAGGTGCCCACCACAATGACTGGCTAATTTTTTGCTGCAATTTGTCTGGGGCTGGGGCTGAACCCACCACCCTCAATATATGGGACTGGCGCCCTACTCACTGAGCCATAGGTGCTGCCCTCTCTCTCTCTCTCTCTTTTTTTTTCCTTCATTATCTTGTTCCTTTTTCATTCATCTTCTATTTTATATATTTTTGTTAAACTATATTAATTTATAAAATAAAGATACAAGCAAATAAAATACAAATATTTTCCTTGTGATATGCTTCCTCCCCATCCCCATTATGTTCTTTTGTCTTCACATATCTAAACATAGAGATTATTTACAGCTCCTTCCTGCCAGACTAGACAGGAGTAGGATATAGCCAGTATTTCACTATTTTTCTCATTTTATTTCTGAAGAATATCCTTTCTGGAATATTCTCCTTTCTCTAATATTTTGAGAAGATAAATTGTTTTTCATTATTTTTGATAGAAAGTAAGATGAACCAAGAAAATCTAATAATTTCATAGCCTTTTAAGAAAAGGCATCCCATGTAGAAATTATTTTTTAAAAAGAAAAAGTTGAACTGGTCTGATTATGAAAGAATTGCCCTGTCCTCACCCTTGCCAAGTATTGTGTATTATATAATTTTGTTGTTTTGGCCAGGCGTGGTGGCTCATGCCTGTAATCCCAGCACTTGGGAGGCCGAGGTGGGTGGATCGCCTGAGCTCAGGAGTTCGAGACCAGCCTGGGCAAGAGCAAGACCCTGTCTATAAAAATAGTCGGGCATTGTCACGGGCACCTGTAGTCTCAGCTACTCGGGAGGCTGAAGCAAGAGAATCACTTAAGCCCAAGAGTTTGAGGTTGCTGTGAGCTGTGATGCCATGGCACTCTACTGAGAGCGAAAAAGGGAGACTCTGTCTCAAAATAAATAAATAAAATAATTTTGTGGTTTACAGTATTATGTCCTATAACCATTAGGGAAAAAAACAAAACAAAGTTAGATCCTTTCTTTTATCCCATAACCCAAATTAATTCCAAATAGATAAAAGATTAAAATGTATAACATAAGACCATAAAAGGAAATATGAATGACTATATAATCTTAAGCAAAGAAAGAACTTTTATGGCATGGTAAGAGAGATGGAAACCAAATAGCATCTAACAACTATTGAGAGATTAATATATAGTGGGTCGTGTACTGGGGACTCTTGTCGTCCCATTTTGTTCTCACATGAGTCCTATGAAACAGGTGTTATTATTATCACTGCTTTCTGAAGAATAAAAACAAGGCACGAGGAAATTAATTACCTTACTTAAGCCAACAAAGGCAAGAAGTGACTGAATGCAGACTTGAATACCAATAGTGTGACTGCAAAGCCTGAAAATGTAATGAGAGATGATACAAAATAGTATTTACTGCGTAAACCTGCCATTTCTTCCTCAAAGGGTGTTGGGAAAGACAGGGGTGTTACTGTGTGTATAATGTAAACTGTGAAGGGTGACCTGGTGTTAGTGAGAGGCAGCTCACCCCACTGCTTGCCAGGATGGAACAAGGGAGAGCAGCCAGCAGCCTCTTCACCTTTCTTCCTTGGTCTTCTTTCAGTACCTCTCATTAGACTCTTGCTGCTCATTTGCCCACGTGGAACCACCTCAGCGAGTCCAGGCACCTCCGTAATCCTGCCAAAGAACCTGGCAATGAGGCTGCTTCTTTCCCTCTGGGGACAAAAGAGTGTAGATTCCACCTCTGAAAAAATGAAAGAATTGAATCCAAACAGGAGCAGTGACTTGGCAATGTTGGCCATTCTCTCTGTCTTTCCCACTCTTTTTCCAGCAGGTAGACAAATAGAATTAACCTTCCCAGTTTGTATGGAGTTGAGTATAGAGATAGATGTTTAGATAATTACTAATTTAAACCAATTTTTGGCTTAAAAGTTATGAGAAGGAAATATTTTCGAATATAATATCATTATTACCAAAGAGTTTGTGCAATGTCACATTCAGTGGTGTAATATTAGAAGCCGTTCACGCCTCTCTAATCATCTATTCATAGTCATTCTCCCAAGTGTTTGTTTTGGCTTATTACTACTAAAGATGTGAACAGAAAAGAAACTCTGCTCATTTGTAAAAGCCCTGGTAAATGCAAACTACTGTCATTTCCAAGATTTGGCATGGTAAAGAAGATGCAATTTCCAAGTCTGCTGGATTACAGTGGATAAATGAATAATTAGGAATTTTGAGTAGCTCCCCAATGGGGGGAAAAATCACTGGGATTACTGACCACAAAAAGAAAAATTTCAAAATTTCCAGTATTTATTACTTAAACTGATTTCTATCTCTGGGAAATCCACTCTTTCCAACACTAAAGTCAGTTTCCAAGAAAAAAGGAAAAAAAAACCCAAAAAGAATATGCCCCTTTGGAAGACATCATTACTTTATCCTCCAGATAACCACACAGGGAATATGCAACATTTTCCTTATTAGTAGATGTTCAGAACATCCTGTGTTTCTCCATACTGGACTGATAAACCCACCACTTAACAGTAGTTTGCTCATGTGGGCTCCAAGGAAAAATTGCTGAACTCAGGACCTAGCAAGTATCATGGATATTTCTGAGTTCCAAACCCTGAGGTAAAGCAGGTGAGTATTAGAGTCATAGGCTTTTGTTTTCTTATTCTTTGCACATTTGTCTACAGGTGATTTCACAATGCAAATATAAGGGAACTATTTAGTTAATGAGTATACTATATGCATCTCTTGGGAAAAAGTATATGAGTATATATGACATGATTATTATTGGTGTTGTGATTAAGACTTAATGAAAATGAATAAATTAAGAAAAAGTTTGCAGCATTAATTAATAAAGTTTGCAGAACTAATTCCTAATTAATTAGGAAATGCAGCATAGGCATTTCCTAACACTCATTTGAAAAAAATCTTTAATTTGAATAACTACTTGAAAAGGCTACTAACTTAAAACCATATTCATTTTAGTACTGTAACCTGTAAAACTCAGAGAAGATAAGTTGGTTTTCATATCCTAAGAATCACATGCCATCTCTGAAGGATCACATATTTTAAATAGCTTAACACTAAATGATTTGGTATTATAGGTAATTAAAGATCATTAGCCAATTCCAAAGGTTCCCTGAGTATGTCTGATTTCCAAGCTTTTGAAGGGAGAACTGTTAAATTTATTTATTTCATTAAAAAATAGTGTAGAAGCCAGGTGTGGTGGTGTGCTCCTATAGTCCCAGCCACTAGGAGGCAGAGAGGGGAGGATTACTCAAGCTCTGACCTCTAGGACCTCCAGTGAGTATTTGGAGACAGGGCCTTTGAAGAGGAAATTAAGTTAAAATAATATGGGTACACAAAGACACCAGAGATAATATGCTCTCACAGGGCAAAGGCCATGTGAGGACACAGTGAGGAGACGCCAGCTGCAAGCCAAGGAGAGAGGCCTCAGAAGAAACTAAAGCAAGCTGGGTGCGAAGTGAAATCCTAGCACTCTGGGAAGCCAAGGCGGGTGGATTGCCTGAGCTCAGGAGTTCGAGACCAGCCTGAGCAAGAAGGAGACCCAGTCTCTAAAAATAGCTGGGTGCTGTGGTGAGCGCGTATAGTCTCAGCTACTCAGGAGGCTTGAGGCAAGAGGATCACCTGAGCCCAAGATTCTAAGGTTGCTGTGAGCTATGATGCCATGGCCCTCTACCAAGGGTGATGAAATGAGACTCTGTCTCAAAAACAAAACAAAACAAAACAAACAAAAAAACAAGATAAAAAGAAGAAACCAAAGCAACTGGCACTTGTAGCCTCCAGACTGAGAAAATATTTTTTTCTTGTTTAAGCCACCCAGCCTGTGTACTTTGTTACAGTAGCCTTCGCTAACTGATGCATCCCTTTCCCCTTTATTCCTCTGTTCTCCCCAGGTCTAACCATAACCAACACTGCCTTCCAGGCTTATTTCCTATGTTAGTGTATACAGAGTCATATATAGGAAGTTTCTTTCTTTACACAAATATTGCTCAATGAGTTGCTTTTTTCCTTTAACACTATATCATAAGCAATTGTCTGTGTTAGTACCTATAGAAAACTACCTCCCACATTCTTACAGAAACCACACTGCATAGTTTTCCACTGTATGAATAATGTACCATGATTTCTTTCAACAGTTCCATTATTGATGAGCATTTAGATTGTTTTCAATTTTCTATATTTTCAGTAATGAAATAAACATCTTTGTACATTTGTGGTTGGGCTCATGTGCTAACATATCTGTAAGGATAATCACAGAAAGGAAATTGCTGGGTTAAAAAGCATGTGCATTTACAATCTGAAATCAGTTATTGTCAATTTGTCTTTCATAAAGGCTAAACAATTTCCTATCATACTGATATATGTGAGACTCTGTTTCCCCATTCAAGGTTTTTTTTTTCTTTCGTTATTTACAGGTATGAGTGTGTGTATGCAGATAACTTTTAAAAACAGTATTATGATTATACTATATATTTTTAATCTCCCTTTAGTATTTTAGTCTTGAACATGAACTTTTCCCCATAAAAGAGAAAATTTAGTCCTGATTTTCAGTCTTTCTGTATAGAATCATTCTTCTGTTTGGGGATCTCATGCCTACATCAATGACTGTTATTGCCAACTCTGCAACTTACAATTTGGACTAACCTAAACCTCTGAAGGTTTTGTCTCCTAGATAGAGGCAAAAATCAAAGTGTAATGTCTCTAGAACAGTGGTTCTCAACCTTCCTAATGCCGTGACCCTTTAATACAGTTTCTCGTGTTGTGGTGACCCCCAACCATAAAATTATTTTTGTTGCTACTAGCAATGAAAGGAAGGTTGAGAACCACTGCTCTA